TTACCGAAGCTAGCGCTCGCTCATAGCATTCAAATTATGCCGGAATAAATCCACCTACAGGGTTTAGCATAATATTCCTTCATGAACTCACTTCGGGGATATCATCATACTAACGCACATGGTGACCGTAAATATCCTAATAGCACATCGAACACATAATGTTATTACCCAATTCATTAAGTATGTCGACCCGGCTTGGATCTCACCCAAAGAATCAAAGCAACAACAATTATGTGCACATGTCTATTTAATATCTTACGGGTTAAGAGCATGCAATAATTAACTGAGGCCTAGTTCGTTTACGGCGATTAGTATAAAACGAACATCCCTCTCTGGGATCCTGTTCAATACATAAATGTACTAGCGCAACTAATCGTCAAGACAAACTGTACGGTTGACACTACAACCGTTCCGATGGGTTGTTCAATTCCATCTAGGTTGTGAACCAACGATTCCTGTTTCGCAAGTAACTGATATAGTGATCTTCGGTACGCCCGATGACGACCCACTTATCTACATGCAAAACAACAGAACGTGGAACTTATTTAACCAAACATAATTCTCATTCATCAAGGAATAACAAGTGTAATATCCACTAAAGCAAAGCTTAAGTATATAACACCAAAACACTCTAGATCTAGGAGAAGACCCATCAAAAATTGGCGCCGTCTGTGGGGAGCTCTTAAGGGAAACAAGAGCTTTGCACCTAGTTCTGATCTGTTCGAAGATGGTGGAGAAGGAAGGATTGCAGAGGAATTGGAGTGAGGACTTTAGGGGAACATGGACAGACAAGTGACCTCCGCCGATTCTCGGCCCTAGACCAGCACTTCAAGTTCTCGGCTTCCCACCGTTCGGAGTACACGCGCCGTCGGGAGTGCGTGTGGAGGAGGAAACGCCTATTACCCCGCCCGGGGTAAAAATCCCAGTGTTAGCGCAAGGAGGACCCAGCCAGATGAAGGGTACGAGCACGAGAGTTAATGAACAAGAGTCGACTGAGATATCCCTGAGTTTGGGGAGACAACCTGGGGCATTGGAGCAAGGAACGAGGCCACCACCACAGGTCGAGGAACAAACACTGACCATGATGAGAAGCGAGATGCAAGAGATGATTGCGGAGACAGTGGCATCCCAACTTAAGCAGATGCAGGTCGAGCAACCCAGGGTCGAGAAACCTAGAGTTGAGCAACCTCGGATTGAGCAACCACCCCCTAAACGCGAACAACAATCACAATCCCATGAAAGAAAAAGTAGGAGGGCGGACGAGGAGGAGTCCTCCGTCAGAACTAGTAACCCAAAAATGAGAAACAATACTCTAGAACAACTGATGCCTCAGGTGCGAGACTTACAGGCTCGAGTCGAGGGAAGAAAAACTAGGAGCGCGAGAGGACACCCATTCTCGAAACATATTCTGGACGCCGATTTGCCACAAGGGTTTAGAGAGCTAAATATATGGTATGATGGATCGACTGATCCTTTTCGACATCTGCAGAGTTTTGAGAATATGGCAGTGTTACAACGCTATAATGATCCTGTTCAATGTCGAGCATTCTTGACGACTCTGTGAGGACCCGTGCAAGACTGGTTCCACCAACTACCCCCAGGAGCCTTCAGGAATTTTGATGGTTTAGCTCGAGTTTCTTGAACCAATTTGCAAGCGTGAAAGCCCAGGAAAAGTCTTACCTTACGTTGATAGGTATGCAGCAGAAAGAGGGAGAGTCGTTGCGGGACTATGTATCAAGGTATACACGAGCTTGTGTCGACGTGCCCTCAGCCACGGAGGAAATCAAGTCGGAAGGATTGACCAGAGGACTGCTACCAGGTTTATGCAGGAACTCTTTGGCGAAGCGACCTGGTAGGACGTTCGATGAAGTATTGGGAAGGTGTGCTAAATACATGAATGTCGAGGAAGCAGAAGCCGACTTCTTGCAAGTGGCGAAGGTAAAAACTGAACCCCGAGACGAGAAGAAAGATAAAAAGTCAAACCCGTCGGGAGAAATGAGAGGATACCCGAAAGAAGAAAGGGAGGGACGATCTATAGGGTGGAGACCGACTCAATACACCCCCTTGTCGGCTCCACAAGCACGAACAACGGAGGTGATGGAGAAGGAAATACATGATAATGTCGTTAGGTGGCCTCGGAAGAGGAAAGATGGACCAACAAAGCCCATGAGCAACCGGTATTGTCGATTTCGCAAAGATTATGGGCACAACACCGACGACTGCAGGCACCTCAATGACGAAATTGAAAGGCTAATCAAAGCAGGGCATCAGAAGGAGTTTATCTATAAAGATTGAGACAGGACTAGTCGGAGGAGAGAAAGAAGCATGAGCCCTCTCAAGAGGGCGAGAACACCTGAGAAAGAGGAGCTCCCCAAAAGAGGGGAGTGATTCACATGATATTCGGTGGGCAGACTGCCGGAGACTCGAATTGAGCATGGAAGCGTATGCTCGAGGTCGACATGCCACGACCGAGATACAGCAGGTAGAGGAGAATGGTCCTGTGATGAATTTCGGGCCAGCGGAGGTGGAAGAGGTCGAGAGGCCTCACAATGATGCCCTAATGATAACTGCCCAGGTGTCGGGCTATGAAGTACAAAGAGTTTTTGTCGACACAGGAAGTTCAGTGAACGTGATCTTTTATGACTGCCTCAAGAGGATGGAACTCGATATACATCTCACACCCCTGCATACCTCGCTATTCGTATAAAATGGATCGGAAGTCACACACTTGGGAGAAACCACGCTCGCTGTCGTTCTAGGGGAAGGCGATTTAAGGAAAGTGAAAATGGTGAGATTCGTAGTAGTCGATGTCGAGTTGGCTTACAACGTGATTCTGGGAAGGCCAGCACTTAATGCATTTCAGGCTGTGGTATCGAATTACCATATGAAGCTAAAGTTCCCCGTCGGAGATCGAGTTTGATAGGCCCGAGGTGATCAAAAGCTATCGAGAACCTGTTATCAAATTGCGGTAAAAACCAACCAGTGAGCCGAAATCAGAGATGGAAAAAAGCCGATGACGACTGAAAAGAGACCGAGGGGGAGCGACCTCGAGCCACATGGAGAACTAATGGAGATCCAAATCAGAGAGAGAGGGGACCAAACCACCAAAGTCGGGAGAGAGTTGTTAGACGAGTTTCGAAAACAATTGGTGGAGCTGTTGAAGGAATTCAGGGACATATTTGCTTTCTCCCCTGAAGGATTGACGGGAATCGATCCAGAGGTCATGGAACACAAACTCAATGTCAACCCCCTCAGAAAGCCTGTAAAGCAGCGACTCAGGCATCATGGAGCTGAAATCGACAAAGCAATTGAAGTCGAGGTGGACAAGTTGCTGAAAGCTAAACACATCAAAGAAATCCAATTCCCTGAATGGATATCAAACACCGTGATGGTAAGGAAGGCACTAAACAAATGGCGTATGTGTATCGACTTTCATGACTTGAACCTGGCATGCCCAAAAGATCATTATCCCTTACCAAGAATTGATCAGCTAGTCGACTCTACGGCTGGCTACGAATTGCTGAGTATGATGGATGCATCTCAAAGGTATCATCAATTTCCCTTGGCCCCCGATGACCAGATTAAATTGAGCTTTGTGACGAGCAAAGGGACATACTTTATGTCTCATGCCCTATGGACACAAGAATGCGGGAGCGACTTACCAAAGACTGATGGATCGTATGTTCAAACCGCAGATCGGGCGTAATATGGAGGTGTATGATGACGATATTTTGGTGAAGAGTAAATCCTCGACTTCACACCCAGACGATTTAAGGGAGACATTCAAAACCCTTAGAGCATTTGGGATGAATTTGAACCCAAGAAAATGCGCCTTTGGAGTAAAGGCATGGTGATTTTTGGGATACGTTGTCACAGAACGAGGAATTGAGGTAAATAAAGAAAAGGTGAAAGCCATACTCGACATGGCCCCACCAAGGAATATCTGGGAAGTGCAAGTTCTGACGGGTCTGATTGCTAGTCTAAGCAGGTTCATTGCTCGGGCTGCCAATAATAGATTCCCATTCTTTAAACTACTCAAGAAGAAGTCGACTTTCGCATGGAGCTAGGAGACTCAGATGGTGTTTGATAAACTGAAGGAGTTCTTGAGTGATTTTCCTTTGTTGACAAAGCCCGAGCCCAATGATGAGTTGGTTTTGTACATATCTGTAGGATTAGTCTCGTTAAGCTCAGTACTGCTGCGGGAAGAGGGAGATTCCCAGCAACCAATATATTACACCAGTCGGGTACTCTAAGGAGCCGAGACGAGATACTGTGAAGTTGAGAAGGCTGCCCTAACTCTGGTGATAACGACGAGGAAGCTGAGGCCATATTTTCTAAATCATACAGTGTGGTGAGGACGAATTTTCAACTCGAAGAGACATTAGGGCGACCTACGGTGTCAGGTCGACTTGTTAAATGGGCAGTAGAGCTAAGTGAATACACAATCAGATTCGAGCCCAGGCCGGCGATCAAAGCTCAAGCCTTAGCCGATTTCACCCAAGAATGTACCAAGGGCGAACAGAGAAAGTGGGTAATGCATGTTGACGGATCCTCTGCGGCCAAAGGATCTGGAATAGGATTCGTCCTCGTGACTCCCGAGGGTGAGCAACTCAACTTTGCCATCAGAATGGGATTCAAAACCTCGAATAATGAAGCAGAATATGAAGCGCTCATCAAAGGAATTCAACTCATAATTGGTGGTGGAACAACGGACGTCGTGGCACATTCAGATTAACAACTCGTTGTGGGACAAATGATGGGAAATTGTGAAATTAAGGAGGATCGGATGCTAAAGTATGTCGAGGAAATTCAAAGCCTGGTGCAAGGCTTGGAAAACTTTGAGCTAACTCAGGTCCACGAGAGAGAAATAAGTGAGCCGACTGGTTAGCAAGAATCGCAAGTTCTAAAAAAAGGAAGATGAGGAGCCACATTACCACCATGCACTTAGAAGGAAGCGTTTTAGGCGAAATAATGGAAGTCGACGAGAAAGATGATTTGAGAAAATCGATTCGGGAACTTCTGCAGGGTCGAGTGCCCGCAGGCGATAAGCAGAAGGCGGAAAAGGTTGCTCGATACTTGAGTAAGTATTTTGAGGTCGATGGAGTCTTATATAAGAAGTCGTTGATCGGTCCCCATCTGCGATGCGTTTCTGAGAAAGAAAGAATTCATGTCCTAAGAGAAATCCATGAAGGATGTTGTGGAGCACACGTAGACTCTCGAGCTCTGACTGGGAAAGCCCTACGGGCGGGCTACTATTGGCCTAAGATTGGAGCAATGGCAGAACAGTTAGTCCAGAAGTGCGAAAAATGCCAGCGCCACGGGCAGATGACCCACATCCCAGCCGAATATATGACGACGATCAACTCTCCAATCCCCTTTGCTCAATGGGGAATCTATTTGGTGGGCCCATTGCTGATGGGAACGGGGCAAAGAAAGTTCTTGGCAGTCGTGGTCGACTACGTCAGCAAATAGGCCGAGGCAGAGCCCTTGGCGCGAATCACCGAAGAAAAAATGATACAGTTCCTATTTAATAACATTGTTGTCGATTTGGAATTCCAAAAGTGCTAATCTCGGACAATGGAACTCAATTCCAAGGGAAACAGATCCAGGCATGGTGCCTCGACATTGGGATTAAGCAGCGATTTTTCTCAGTTGCGCACCCTCAGTTTAAATGGCCAAGTCGAAGTAACAAACAGAACCATTCTCCAACGGTTGAAGAAGCGATTGGAGAAGGGGTCGGGAGCTTGGGTTGACGAGCTGACAACGATTCCTATGGGCTTGTAGGACGACTCCAAGAAGCTCAACGGGGCAGTCTCCATTTCACATGGCTTACGGAATGGATGCACTCTTTCCCATCGAAGTCGTCTTGAACTCTCACAGGTCGACATTCTATGAGGAAAAGAAAAACGAGGAGATAGTTGAGGAATCCCTCGACCTGATTGAAGAGGGACGAGAAGAACGCTGACGGGATGCGCGGACTGCTGGCGATGCGCGTCGGGCGCTGGCGGTGCGCGTCGGGCGCTGGGCGTACGCGGAAGGCTGCTGTAGGCTGGGAGGATGGCCGGATAATATATGTATATAGAGGCTCAATCAATTGCACCAAAAAGCCTTCTAACGGATTACCTAAACACCTATTCCGAATAAACTTGGTGGAGCGTTTAATCGGATCTCCCTAACTCTCGAATGATGTAATTCCCTTGTGTATGTAGTAGGGAAAATCGGCCAAGACAACAACCATAAGAGAGATTGGGACTTGGTGTATTTATAGGCTCCATTAGGGACC